AACTGAAACTAGGCTTGACGGCTGGCCGAGGTGTTTTATAGGAAGGAGGCCGAGTTAGGTGTAGCTTGGTCAATGCCCTCTACATCATTGCTTAGTTAAGAGCATAACCGAAATAAGCTAGCTTGGCTAAACCAGCCTAGACAAAGGAAAAAAGTATCTTACTTGGTTGGTGGTAAGTAGAGTGTTATCAGGATAGACATTCTTCACTACGAGTGTGATTCTTAACAGGACTCTACTAAGTAGAGTTGGAATCCTACTAGGATGGTGTCAGGCGGAATTTATAAAAGCTCATGACAGAACCTATGTACATGTATCACAATTCTCATCCTAGAATACACAGAGCTTTTGTGTCTATTGTCTATTCGCTGACTTAGGCATCAGAGAGGTTTCCGGCACACACCCGCCGGTTAGCTCACGTTTGTGTTTTCAGGTGACAAAGCGATGACGTTTGGAAGAGTGCAAACTTGATCAACAGGATTTGTCACGCCCCAAATTTTAATTACTCGAAAACATTACCAAGAGCCTGAAATTCAGGTCCATTTTTTTTTTAATTAAAAATATCTATTACCCTTGAGTAATAGAAACATAATAGTACATGTTCTCTCCCTCATGATGAGTACAACAATAATAATAATACATTCCTATGCTCCCGCTACGGAGTTACAATTAAATAATTACAAACATCAAAATATAATGAGAGTACATACTAGATATACATGAACTTCCTAATCCTTTAACTAATCAATCTGAATTCTCTTCCTGTAAAAAAAATGAAACAACAAGGGGTGAGCACAATTGCCCAGTAGGAAATCTCATAGTTCTAAAACAATAACCATCCTATAGATAGAAATGATCATGCATGCAGGGTGATACTATATAGTAAAGTAATGTTTTGTAATTTCAAAATATCATACATAGAGTACCTTTTTCTCAAAGTTTATTTAAAACATCGTAAGGAAAACCTTCAACCATCAAAACTATCCATTTTTATCAAAAAAACATAAAATCCTTTTTGAAAACAAATATATTTAAGGAATAACATCATTTTAATTTTATTAATCCATTCTATAATATTCCTCATTTAATTTTCATCTTAACATTCCTCATTTTGTTCCCATTCTCCCATTTTTCTAGTTACATTTATTATAACGCCATAACCTCAAGTTCAAGTTCCCTTAACACTCCAAACATCCACATGCATGCTATTCTCATCAATCTATTCATATTTGCTGCAACTCCTCAATGTAAAAATCCAAATCTCTTTTATAGTCAATAATTGTTATCCTACACTCAACTCCTACTTATCTAACAATTACATCGCATCCACACTTGCATTATCAATTATAATTCAACATATCACAACTACATCATATTCACACGTGTGTTATCAATCATAATTCAACATATCACAAGGATAATAAGCCCTTTAATTCAATTTCTCAATTAATCATGAAACAAAACTCTTAATTTTTTCTTATAGATGCAAACAATCCGATGAGTTCTTTATCACTAACCCCTCATTCAATTACCGTTTCATTATCCATTTTTTTCAAATAATTCCCATAAGCATTTCCATTCCATACCAATTTACACATCAAATGATAATTTCACAAGTTCATCACAAGTCACATATATCATCATCGGCGTCAACACACGTCACAACACATTCCACCTTTTGCCGACTTGATACCGCGAGATAGCGGGCACCTAATTCATAGCACATTCCATCTTTTGCCGCCTCTTATACAACGGGAAGTGAACTCCCAAAAATCATTTTCTCAAAAACCATGTCTTTTTCGAAAACCATTTTCAACTTTTTAAACCATCCCCCACATTTGCCGGTTATTATACGGTAGGACATGGGCACCCAAAACATTTTCGAAAACCATCCGTTTTTCCACTTTGCCGGCTACAATACGGCAGGACTGTGTGGACACCCAAAAATCATTTTTCCACTTTCGCCACTTACAATATGGCAGGATTGTGTGGACACTCAAAAACACTTTTCCCACATTCGTCTAGCGATAAGCCTAGGTAGGGCAATTGGGCACCTTGAATTCAAACCACATCCACATTTACCGGCTATTATACGGACGATCGTGAGCACCGAAAAACCATTTTTCAATTTTTTTAAAACAATTCCCCACATTTACCGACTATGATACGGACGGTCGTGGGCATTGAAAACTATTTTTTTAACTCCCCGCGCGGGTACCATCCACAACACAACCCAACCCAACACAATTCAACTCAACCCAACACAACTCAATTCCGCACAACACAACTCAACCAACTCAAGACAACATAACCCAATACCATTCACATGACACACAACAAGATTCACCACAACCATTTCAACACAAAGTTCATATCATCCATACCGTTAGTAATTTCCTTTCCCCCAAATTTGGTTCACATTATAACATAATTTAAGACATCAACATTATGAGTTCATTCGCAACTTTTACATACATTTCTCAAATTCTTTAAAATTTCAATTAAACTTGTGCATGTGTAATTTAGCACCTCAATTTCATGATTATACTATTAATTGAAGCAAAACCATTAACCACCTTCATGAGCCAAACTAAGGTTTTTAAGAGAAGTTAAAACTTTTCACAAAAACACATTTTATTCCAACCCTTCTATTACTTTTACACCGAAACTTATGACCCAAGATCATAACCCAACAAATAAACCCAACTCTCTTCAAGCCCTAACCCTCAATCTCGTGATTCATCACAATATGCATAAAAATATAAACTTTTGTGTTTGTATAAAGAACATACCACAAATCTATCCATAAATGAGGGTATTGAAAGAGAACTAGAGACCCCTACCTCTTGAAGCCAAGAGATGATGACCTAAACATCAATGGCGACAAAACCACGAACTCTTCGGACCAAATGGATGCCCTTGACGAGATCTACACTTTTTCTCAAAGGACCATGGTGAAAAGATCACTCTAGGTGAGTAGATCTAGGGATCTTAGTGCCAAAAACTTGAGTTTAGAGAGAGAGAAGAGAACTCACGGTTTTGAGAGAGAGGAAATGGAAGAAAAAGTGAAATAAAATATGTTTTGGAGCCTATTTATAGTAGCAAAAGTCAAATGAAAGGAACAAGTCAAAACTCCCAAAAAGTAAGGCCCAAACCAGCCCAAAAATATGAAAAAAACACTCAAGGGTCGACCATTTGGGCAAGGGGGTCGACCCTTTCGGTAGAAAGACAATCTGGCAACAAGAAAGGGGGTTGACCCTTAGACAGGAGAGGGTCGACCCTATTTTCTAGCAACTAACACAGAAATTTTGCAACATAAGAGGATCGACCCTCCCCAGACTGGTGTCTACCCTATTTTCCAGCAACACCTCCAAGAACTTCACCAACAGGTAAGGGTCGACCCTTAGGGAGGTTGGTGTCTACCTTATTTTCCAGCAACACCTCCAGGAACACTACGACATGCAAGGGTCGACCCTTAGTAAGGCTAGTGTCGACCCCAAGGTAAAATTTCTAGGTTTCTAAGAAACTTTTGACAAGAACAAACGCGAACGAACAAACCCAACAAGTTTAAATCGGATTATACTCATTCAAAACCAATAGACAACAACTCAAAAACTCCCAAGATAAAAATAAGGATATTAAACACACTCTTCAAAGGATTAAAGGATGCGGGTGTTACAGGATTATAGAAGAAGATTATTTTGTGCTCGTACATAAACAATTTTTTTTAAATTTTTTTTTAATGTACCTTACTTAAATGTATCTAAATAGTAAAATATTTGTAACAAAAATTAAAAAAATTAATAAATACATAAAAATAGGAAAAATGTACTAAGTTTTCGTATTTATTTTGTATTTTTGGAATTTAGTAAAATTTTTAAAGATTTTTTTTCACAAATATTATATTTTGTAAGTGTATTTATGTTAAGTGTGTCTAAAAATTAAAAAAAAATGCTTAAAATATTAAAAAAATTCAATGAAAACAAAAAATTTAAAAAATAATAAAAAAAATTTTAAAAAAAAATTCTGAAAATAGCAATCAACGGAGCAATTAGTGATTTTTATGCTTTTAAAGTTACAAAAATAACCAAACACCTTCTTGATTTGTCCCGATATGATAGGGGATAGATGGATAACACACCAAACCAGCCCATCAAATTTAGAAACTCTGCCTCCGTTTGGGAAGTGGGTTGGCTTTTTGGCTTTTTGGCTTTTTTGACTATTTTAGCCTGGGCTAAAAAGTTTAGTTTGGGAAGGGCTTTTTGGCTTTTTGGCTTTTTTGGCTTTTTTTGTGAGAGAAGAATGTAATGATTATGGGTTGGATGTGATGTTTTGTTTTTTGTGGCTAAAATAGCCTATTTTGTTTTTTGTGGCTAAAATAGCCAAAAAAGCCCCGTTTAGCTCTTGCCAAACGGAGGCTCTATACTCTCCAAAATGATCTACATCATATATATATATATATATATATATCCTATCTCTCACACATGAGTGATTTAGATCAATTTGAAAGTCATGAAAATTCCAAAAATTGAGAGTCACAATCATTGGGAGTTGGGATTCCTACTGTGCCTGTTGTGAGGCCCAATGGAAGCGTGTCCCGAGTATTTTTCGATAATTCGAACCGTTTATATTTAAAGTTTGTTGAATAGATCATTCATGTAAAAAAATCAAGGAAATTGGATATTTGTAGCCTTATAATAAGAGCATATTTGTTTTTTAAAAAATAAATGATTAATATGATTTTAATAATTTTTTTAAAACAATTAGACCTTGATCATAGTGTTACAATTGTCCGACTAATTTTATTTTTTTTAAATAATATACTCAATAAATCTTTTCAAATTATCAAAACTTTGTCAAAAACTATCCTCAGCAACCCTCAGTCCCAATCATTGTTGCATTGCCTTGGACCGACCTGACAATAGATCCATTTTCGATACAGAACAACCCGACCCGTTAAAATTGAACGACAAACGTTCCCGCTTCTTTATCACCTTCACTTCATTTCGAATTCTCTCTCTCTCTCTCTCTCCTGATTTCATAACAAAGAAAACCCCCATCTCTGCATATTTCTCTCTCTGCAAATCACATAAATCTGTTCCTTTCTCTCTCTAAAAATCCTTCTCTCTCTCTCTCACATGGCTTCACAGTTCGTCTTTCCCCCAAATCTCCACGCTCTCGAAGACGACTACGACGATGGTCGCCTCTCGGCCCAGAACCCTCCCACCATCTCCTCCCTCCGCCCCTCAGAACTCGAAGAATTCGTGAAAGGTCAGCTTTTCCACTCCCCAATTTCCCCAGTTTTCTCAAAACCCCCCTAATACTCTCTCCCTCTCTCTCTCTCTCTCTTCTCTTCTTTCTATCCAAACAGGTGTGTCGTTCGATCTCTCAGACAAGGAGCTCTTCTGCATCGAAGAGCAAGACATTTTCGAACGGGTTTACTCTCTGGTTAAGGGTTTTGCGAGCCTCACTCCGGCTTGTAAGTTCAATCTGGTTGAGAGTCTTCGGTCCAATTTCAGTGTTCTGCTCCCAAATGTTAACTTGCTTTCGCGGTCGTCTCAAGCTCCCGAGGATGATGATGATGAGGTTCCTGTACTTGATCGGGTCGCTTCGCATCGAAACGCCTTCAAAATCTACACTTTTTTTCTCTTCCATATTGTCCTTGTTGAGGAGTCTAAAATTAGTTCCAACAACAGTTCCAAGGTACTCGCTCTCTCTCTCTCTCTCTCTCTCTCGATCTATATATATGCTACTGCTGTTGCCATTAGTTGAAGGTTTTTGTATCAATTTAACTCTCCAATCCTTATGCTTTTGGTCAAATTGAGTAGATGTTTGAGTAAAAGGGTTCATTTGATATGAAGCACACCAACGAATAAACTCAAAATTGAGTAGAAATTGCCAAGTGTCAAGTTTTGAGTGGATTCTAGGAGTTACAGTAGAGCAGAATTTAGAAAATTTGGGTAGAAGTATGTACCTATGTGTCAAGTTTTGATTGGAATAGAAATTTGAGTAAATGAAATGGGTATCCCTTGATTTGAGTCAAAATTTGAGTAAAATTAAATTTGGTGTAGGTTTGAGTAAAGGATTGAAGGGGATTTTAGTGGCTTTTTATTCAAATTTAAGTTTGAGTCAAGATTTGGGTAAGGGTGGAGATGCCTAATGTTGAGTTCTTCATGTATTATGTGTGCGAGTTCATTCGTATTATATACATGTGTATATAGATGAGGTGTGTTATTGATGCTACTGTTGCTGAACTTTAAATGAACATAGATGATTTGTTTATGATTTTAGGTGGCGGCAAGTAGTCGGAAGAAACAGCTTGTAAATTCATGGAACTGGGAACCCCAGAGGGGTCGGATACTAAACTTGATTGCTAATTCATTAGAGATCAACCTATCCATGCTCTTTGGATCATCAGACCCAGATGAAAATTATTTGTCTTTCATTGTGAAGTGAGTTGAATTTAGTTCCATTAAGCCTGGATTATCTGTTTTTGTATGTTTCCTTTTAGTAACATTTTAATTTCTCTGTGCTCATTGGGTTATTGTAGAAATGCATTCTCACTTTTTGAGAATGGGACTCTGTTAAAAGATTCAGAAACAAAAACTGCTTTATGTCGTATAATTGGGACTTGTGCCACCAAATACCACTACATGGCACAATCATGTGCTTCAATTTTGCACCTCATTCACAAATATGACTTTGTGATCACCCACTTTGCCGATGCTGCTGCTGGGGCTGAGAAAAAGTATGCTGATGGAAGCCTGGCCACCTCCCTTATCAGAGAGATTGGAAGGATTAACCCGAAAAACTATGTGAAGGACACAGTTGGGGCTGAAAATATTGGTCGTTTTCTTGTGGAGCTTGCTGACAGGCTGCCAAAGTTGATTTCAACTAATATTGGTGTTTTGGTTCCACAACTTTGCTGGTGAATCTTATAAGATCAGGAATGCCCTTGTTGGGGTTCTGGGGAAGTTGGTTTCTAAGGCATTTAAGGATGTTGAGGGTGAAGTGAGTTCCAAATCCATTCGCCTTCGAACTAAGCAAGCAATGTTGGAGATTTTGGTGGAAAGGTGCCGAGATGTTTCAGCCTACACCAGGAGTCGGGTTCTTCAAGTTTGGGGTGAACTATGTGAAGAACATTCCATACCAATTGGTTTGTGGAACGAGGTTGCAGCAGTAGCAGCTGGAAGGTTGGAGGACAAGAGCGCAATTGTTAGAAAGTCAGCATTAAATTTACTTATAATGATGTTGCAGCATAACCCTTTTGGTCCACAAATTCGAATAGCTTCTTTTGAAGCAACCTTGGAGCAGTACAGGAAGAAGTTAAATGAGCTAGAACCAAATGCCGCTTCAGAGACTGTTTTGGATGGCATATCATCAGATAATGATACTTGCAATGGAGATGGTGAAGTTGATAATGTAGATGCAGAAGTTGTGTCCAAGGAGCAGCAAGATAGTCTAACTGATAGCTGTTTGCCTGATATAGAAGATGGGATTAATCAGAAGGATAGTTCTGTGCCAGATCTGGGGAATTTGGAGCAAACCAGGGCCTTGGTTGCGTCACTAGAGGCAGGCTTGAGGTTTTCCAAATGTGTATCTGCCACAATGCCAACCCTTGTTCAACTGATGGCTTCATCTTCTGCAACTGATGTGGAAAACACAATTCTATTATTAATGAGGTGCAAGCAGTTCCAAATTGATGGCTCAGAAGCCTGCCTCCGCAAGATGTTGCCACTGGTAAGACTTTACTTTTGATTATTTGTTGGGAGTTCAGGCACAATCCAAATTTCCAGCTTGAGAATGATATTGGATTTCTATCAGGTTTTTTGCTCATACCTTTCAGTAGATGTTTCATGTAAATAGTGAATTGTGCATATTTGTTGGCTGCATACAGGTATTTTCACAGGACAAATCCATTTATGAAGCTGTGGAGAATGCATTCATCACAATATATATAAGGAAGATTCCAGTAGAAACTGCTAAAAACCTTTTATATCTTGCTATAGATTCAAACATTGGTGATCTTGCAGCTCTGGAGTTCATAGTTGGTGCCTTGGTATCCAAAGGTGATATAACTGCAAGCACGGTATGCTCCGCTCCTCGTCTTTCAATAATCTCGTACAAATCATAAGTTAGTTGAAATCTTTTGGTCGAGCTATTTTGGATCATATTCATGGGTGGTCAAAGAACTACATTTTTGCATACTATTCATGCATGCTTGGAGCTTAAGAAGTCTAGCTCTTGCCAAGATAGAGCTAGGGTTGCAACTGACCTGAGTTGAACCAAATATTTGACAGTTTGAGTAAAAATCCTTTTTCATATTTTTGTTTTTGCAGATATCAGCATTATGGGATTTCTTTTGCTTTAATGTTAGTGGAACCACGGCAGAGCAAAGCCGGGGTGCTTTGTCTGTTTTGTGCATGGCAGCAAAATCATCTACTGGGGTTCTTGGTTCGCACTTACAGGACATCATTGATATTGGGTTTGGTCGTTGGGCAAAAGTGGAACCGTTGCTTGCTAGAACAGCTTGCCTTGCTCTTCAGAGGTTGTCCGAAGAGGACAAGAAAAAATTGTTGTCAAGTAATGGCAGCCGAGTGTTTGGTATTTTAGAAAGTTTAGTCACTGGCTTCTGGCTTCCAGAGAACATATGGTATGCTGCTGCTGATAAAGCAATAGCTGCAATATTTGCAATTCATCCAACTCCTGAAACCTTAGCTGCTGATCTGGTGAAGAAATCTCTCAGTTCTGTATTTAATTGTTCTGGAGGAGATGAGTTGGAAAATGAAATTGACGGTGGTAACACCAATGTCCTTACCTCAGTTCAAGTTACAAAACTTAGTAGACATTTATTTGTTGTGAGTCAAGTTGCCATGAACCAATTGGTATATATTGAATCTTGTATGCGGAAGATCCAAAAAGAGAGAGCAAAGAAAGAAAAATTGGAAGCTGACAGACAGAATGGTCATAATGATGTCACAACCAATGTTGATAACTCGAAGGTGAGATATATTCAGCATTACTTTATTAATATAAACAGAGTACTGTTATTTGTTTTCTGTTTCCTTGGTCCTTTGTTCTTTCTTGTGATTAATAGTTCTTCCTTCGGGTTTTTGAAGGACAACGGCATCAATGCAGAGTTAGGTCTTGCTGCCTCTGAAGATGCAATGCTTGATACTCTGTCAGATAGAGCAGAGAAAGAAATTGTTTCTGGTGGTTCTACTCAGAAGAACTTGATTGGACATTGTGCACCTTTTCTGTCAAAACTTTGTAGAAATTTTAGTTTAATGCAGAAGGTGATTGGTTTAAGTTTTTCTCTTCTCTATGTTGATTACATGCCTAAAGTAGTACATGATATACTGATTTCAATTGTCATCAAATGTTGGCATAAATATTACAAAAACATTTGTTTTAATTTCTTTTTAAGCAAATCCTTTTTGTTTTTGAAGTGCCTACATACTTTTTTTTGGGCCAACTGATTACTATAATTGTTTTTTGTCCAAAATTTGTTTAATAAACTAATTTGATCGCTGTTTTTTTTTAGTATCCTGAACTACAAGCATCGGCAATGCTTGCTTTATGTCGATTTATGATTATTGATGCAGATTTTTGGTAAGATTTCTCTCCCTCCCTCCCTCCATCTCTTTGTGTTTGTGTAACAGAAAATGACATCTAATTTCAATTGGTTTCCAGTGATGCAAATCTCCAGCTTCTCTTCACTGTTGTGGAGAATGCACCATCAGAAATTGTTCGTTCCAATTGCACTATTGCTCTTGGAGATCTGGTAGTTCGTCTTCCTAATCTATTAGAACCATGGACAGAGAATGTATATGCTCGGCTAAGGGATGCTTCAGTTTCTGTTAGAAAGAATGCTGTATTGGTTCTTTCACATCTCATTTTAAATGACATGATGAAGGTTTGGGAGGCTCGCTTATCACTGCTCATTCTTTAGCTTTTTGTGTTGATCATTTGGGGTCTTTATTCTTAACATTGCTTAACATGTGAAAGGTTACATAAACTGTTAGAATTTCCCATCTTTATCTTCACCTACTCCACTACACACTCCACTTCACCTACCTCCACTTCACCACACACTCCACTTCACCTAACCCACTATCACCTCCACTACACCTACTACCACATTTTCTTCTATATATAGATTGTATAGGAATTGTAATTCAAAAAATCTTGTAATAAATCAATACATCAATCAATAATATACATCAATTTTAAACATGGTATCAGAGCTGGTTTAGAATCGAATAATTCTGCTTCACCGGCGGGCGGCAGCCTCGCCTTGGCCGCCCGCCGGACCTTTACACATACCTTCAGTTTCCTGCATCTTCCAACTCTCTTTTTCTTTCTGTACACCACAAATTTTCTCGCGATCCAAACACGTTTCGTCGCTCAGAAAATCCAATCGAATCCAAAAGATGTCTTCGACATTCAGCGGTGATGAAACTGCTCCTTTCTTCGGCTTCCTCGGCGCCGCTGCTGCCCTCGTCTTCTCCTGTATGGGAGCTGCGTATGGGACAGCGAAGAGTGGTGTTGGAGTGGCGTCGATGGGTGTGATGAGGCCAGAACTGGTGATGAAGTCGATCGTTCCTGTTGTTATGGCTGGAGTGTTAGGTATTTATGGATTGATCATTGCTGTTATCATCAGCACTGGTATTAACCCTAAGGCCAAGTCCTATTACCTGTTTGATGGTTATGCTCATCTTTCCTCTGGTCTCGCTTGTGGCCTCGCTGGCCTCTCTGCTGGAATGGCGATTGGGATCGTCGGCAATGCCGGTGTTAGAGCTAATGCACGGCAGCCTCGCCTTCTCATTTTCGAAGACAGTCGCTTCGATCTCCCGTCTCTGGTACTCTCTCTGTTTTTGAATCTTCTATAGGGCTTTTAAACCTACAGCAAAGATGCAGAACGAAGAGGGACAAAACATGGACCTTTACATCCCTAGGAAATGTTCCGCCACAAATAGGTTAATTACTGCAAAGGACCATGCATCTGTACAGCTTAATGTTGGACATTTGGATGAGAATGGCATCTATACTGGTCAATTTACCACCTTTGCTCTTTGTGGTTTTGTCCGTGCCCAGGGAGATGCTGACAGTGCAGTTGATCGTCTCTGGCAGAAAAAGAAAACCAACATCATCATCTCATTTTTTTAAAACCACTCTCTACGCACTAACCTCTTAATATTCTTTCTTTCTTCTGTTTTTTATTTTTTCTTTCCCTTTCACATGCCCCAAGATATTTCCCTTAAAAAAAAAAAAAAAAACAACAACCCCAACACAATTTACAAATTTGCACAACCACCCATATTTTATTCATCTCAGGGATCCACCCCGATCACAATCTTACACACAAAAAAAAAAAAAACAAATTGTATTATATGGATATTTTTTTCATATTATCGAACAAGTAGTAACGCTATACAAGAAAAAAAATTATATAATAATAGTGACATACAAACAAAATAAATAGTGTTATATGAACATAATTTTTGTCATTATCACATTATTTTAAAATTAAACTCTATATAAAAATAATGGTGATATATAACTGAATTTATAAATAAAAACAACCATTACGAGGGATAATCAAACACAACTATAAATCATTAACCAAACATTCCTAATTTAATTAATTGTGGTGAGAACTTAAAGTATTTTTGAAAGGAAGGGCCATCTTTGCAATTAGCAAATAAGAAACCAAACTCTACCTATAATAATACAAATTGCAGCCGGCTCTAGTCCCCCTTGGTCCACCGTTGCAAGTAAGTTGTGAATTTGTCCTATTTCTCCCCCACCGAAATAAAGCTATTGAGATTTTAAATGCTGCACCTCATTTGTCCTACTCTGCAGCCGGTGCGACAAATTTGTGACCGCCGTCATGCTTTCCACACAGGCCTTCAAAGTATACTGATTGGCCTCCACATCTGACTGCACTGCCATTCTTTGCTCCACCGACCGCATCGGAAAGTTCAACGGAGCAAACTCCGGGGTGTTTGGTTGAGGTTCACTGGCCACCGCACCAGTTATTTCTCTTGTTGACTCGTTCAGTTCGGGAAAGAGAGTAAGCAGACCACGGGAAGAAGAGGAAGAAGAGGCCATTGTCTGGGCAACTGAGTGTTACAGACTCTCTCTCTCAGCACAACGAAGAATTTTTCAGACTCTCTCTCTCTCAGCACAACGAAGTTTTTTTCAGAGGTTTTTCGCAGTTTTTTCTCTGCCTCAGCCTCAGCCTCAGCCTCCGTCTTATAGCCGAGGCAGCCACGCGCATCGCGCGCCTCTTGCCACCGACCCGACAAACTGGCACGCCTTTTCATGGCACATCTTTTGATAAAGTGAGCACGCCTTTTGATGGCACGCTTTTTGAAAATTTGGGCACACCTTTTGAGGATGCGATTTTTTAAGGGGTCCGACAAGACTCTGTAAACTGTCCCGACATTTGATTCCGGTTAGCTCCTTTATGGGTCCGACAAGACTCTGTAAACTGTCCCGACATTGATTCCGGTTAGTTTCTACAAGGGTCCAGCAAGACTCCGTAAACTGTCTTCTACAACGGTCCGACATGACCCCATAAACTGTCTTCTACAAACGGTCCGACATGACCCCATAAACTGTTTTTTTACAACGGTCCGACATGACCCCATAAACTGTCTTCTACAGCGGTCTGCCACCGCCATCCAGTGTCCTCTACACCATTATGACATCACCATACCGTGTCTTCTACAACGTTATGACACCCCCATACAGTGTCCTCTACAACGTTATGACACCACCATTCAGTGTCTTCACCAACGGTCTGACACGACCATACAGTGTCTCCTATCCTTTTTTATTTTTATGTATTTTCTTGTTTTGTTACTCTCTCCAAACTCAAGTTGGTTAGTTTTCTCTCCTCCTTGAGTTTGCGGGGGGCTGTTAGAATTTCCCATCTTTATCTTCACCTACTCCACTACACACTCCACTTCACCTACCTCCACTTCACCACACACTCCACTTCACCTAACCCACTATCACCTCCACTACACCTACTACCACATTTTCTTCTATATATAGATTGTATAGGAATTGTAATTCAAAAAATCTTGTAATAAATCAATACATCAATCAATAATATACATCAATTTTAAACAAATATTCTTAACATTGTTTAATAGGTGAAAGGTTATATAAATGAAATGGCTATGTGCTTAGAAGATGAAGATGAAAGGATTTCAAATCTAGCCAAACTTTTCTTTCACGAGTTGTCTAAGAAAGGTGTGTTCTCTTGCTAATTCTGTGCTGAAGACTAACATGTGATTTGTATTTGTATTTGTGCACATGAAATGAATTTTAAAATGTTGTTGTATGCATAGGAAACAATCCAATATATAATTTACTTCCGGATATTCTTGGAAAATTATCCAATGAGAACTTGAAGAGAGAGTCTTTCTGCAACATCATGCAGTTTTTAATTGGTTCCATCAAGAAGGTATGGGGTTTTGACTCAGTTTTAGTGACAATTTTTTTTGTTTTTGATCACAATTCCACATAATTTCTTCTAAATTCTTTTCAGGACAAACAAATGGAGTCTCTCGTTGAGAAGCTTTGCAACAGATTTAGTGGGGTCACAAGTATGCATGTTTACAATGTTTTAATTTTCTTCTTTTTTCTCGTAAAAAAACTGATGCCCTTTAATTTGATGCCTATTGATTGGTTGTTAGACTAAAGGAAGTTAGTTAAATTTCTAGCTGTTTTTTGTTTCTAAAAATGCTACTGGTTAAAAGTAGTTCTTGATCACTCTATTTTTTTTGGGGGGGGTTCAGATACTAGGCAATGGGAATATATATCCTATTGCCTCTCTCAGCTGACATTCACTGAAAAGGGCGTGAAGAAGCTGATGGAGTTATTCAAAACATATGAACATGTCCTATCTGAAGATTCTGTGATGGATAACTTCAGGAATATCGTCAACAAGGTATTGAATTATGTTACTTGTGGGAGGTTTTATCAATTTGAATTATAAATTGAATGTTTTGACAATACGTTTGCTCTTCCACCTCATTTAAATCAGGCGAAGAAGTTTGCCAAACCAGAAATGAAATCATGTATTGAGGAGTTTGAGGAGAAGCTTGTTAAGTTTCACATCGAGAAGAAGGAACAAGAACTTACTGCCCAAAATGCCCAAACTCATCAACAAAAACTCAGCAGCTTGGAAAATTTTGTAGTGGCTAAAAATGGAGAGGAATGCGCAGAGTCTGATATTGTTGGAGGTAGGTGCACAATATCCATGCCAGAATCAATTTCTTCATTTGAGTACGTTTTTCTTTTGAATTTTATTTTTTCTTTTCTTTTCTTTTCTTCTTGAAGATGAAACAGATGCCAATGTCAGTGATCCATCTGTGGAAGGGATGGATCAGTCCTCACACAATGTATCAAAGTCCAAAGTTGAGTTGGATGAACATTCTCAGGCTTCCAGTGAGGTGACAGAGTTGGAACCATGTGAAAATGAAGTTCAATCGCCTATGACTGCCATTCATCTAAGAGGTAGATAAAGCTCTAACTATACTTATATGAGTGTACTTGTTTGTTACTTTGAAAATTCAAATTCTTTAATAATATTTTATTCTTTAGGCACCTCCAAATCAAAAGCCAAGAAATCCAGCATGAAAGTTCAAAGAGGTGATATTTCTACCACATCTAGAAAACAATATCAGATCAAAGCAAAAGTGACTTTCTCTCATCTCCCATATATGTATTTGTTTGGTTATTGGAACTAACATTTGTGGCATATTGAATATTTGTTTGGTATACACAAGATGATCTATGATGATTTGACAACTCGGAAAGCAGTTTCTATGAAAAGTTAAAACTCGTATGTAGATGTTTATATGAAAATTAACGTACACATAAATGATATAATTTTTGCTTTAAGAGGAATTTCACCAAAGTAGGGGTTTATCCTCAAGAATAGGGATTGTAGACGGAGGAAACCGTATCGCAAACTCACATTGAATTCAAACTAATTGCATTTTTTGTCTTGTTATCATTTCAGAATTACTCATTTTAAGAGCTGAAGCCAATTTTTCTTTGTCCTGCAGGCAGAAGACAGGTCAAATAATTGATTCTGGCTTTGTTTCTTGTCTAGCATGTAGTTGAATTGTGTGTCAGCTGTTTGTTTTTAAAAAAATAGCTGATTTCTCTTAATTACCTTATTTTCTTCTAGATTGTTCCCTTTTTCTTCCAAGTTAATTTTTTCTCTTCTTTTTTTTTTCTCTTTTGATATGAAGTGCAAAATATATGTATAGTGACACTTCACCATGGTCCAAACAGACATTGGGGAATTTTGTATTTTGGAACTTGTACATCTTGTACCCGGTTCATTTTTGTCTCATTACCAACTTTGTATGTATCTATTAAGTACCACGTTTTAATTTCTTGAAGAAAACAAAAAAATACCATGTTTTATTGTTTATGGCTATGAATTTCTCAGGTCTTTTTTGGTAATTTTGTATTTGTTAATAACAAGAACTTGTTTTCTTAAGTCGTTTTCACTTTAAAAATGTAAAATTTGATAAATTTTTAAAATAAATTTTTACTCTCCATCACTGCCGGCCACTACTCATCACATACCTTCGACTGCCTGCCATTTTTTAATCATTGCTCGTTACCTTTGGTCACCTTTCAACATGTATAAATTTTATTTATTTATTTTTTAAAAACATTTTTTTCTTGTATAGCAAACAAGTTTAAGTTTTTGTTTTTGTTTTTTTACAAAGAGAGAATTTGTTTCTTATTTTTTATAAACAGAATAACAAATTGCTGACATCATCAAGCAACCACAGGCTCTTTCTTGTGACTGGACCGTGAGCTTAAGCTTAATTGTGATGCTTACGGGGTTCATACAACATATAAGAGACCTTGATTTGAGGCATAAACATAAGAAATAAACCAAGTGCTATTATTCTTCTTGGCAAAAGTAAATAATATCATGCCATTTTTCTAGTACATTCTATATCCTCAATTTTAAACACAAGCCATTTGCAAGCGACTCAAAACAGTACATACAACTTGTAATTTCCTTTGAATATCATATGATGTAGAATGGCGTTTGAATGTTCAAAATCATCCACAAGAAGCAAAAGTGTTTTTCCAAATTTCAATATTGATCAATAATACAACCTCTTGTTCAACAAAATATATCATTATGAAAATACTCACAAGCATACTAACGAGGTATTATTGTCTATGTTTGTATGACAAGCCTAACTTAGGAGTAAGTTCATAACCACAAGGGTCTAAAAGAAACATATTTTGTGCGATTTTTTTTCTAGCTCATTTCCCTGGGAACATACTAATTGTCACCCGCCATTTGTCAAATTACTACCTAAGCACACTCAGTACCTTCAATAAGTTCAAAATTCTGACGCTATTTACAGAGCTCCTATCTTAACAGACCTGCAGCAAGGAAAGCATACGAAAAAAACAAACAACAAAAAAAAAAATGATGTCAGGCAGATATTAAAACATTACTTGGAGCCAGTTATAGTTGTCAAGAAAATAAAGCAAAATACAGGCGAAAAAAAAAAAAAAATCAACTTTTCCATAATTTGTTTCATGTTCAATAAGCATAAAGTTTTTTTTTTTTTGATAACCAGGTTTCCGGGCTCCGATTGTAGACCCGAGTAATCCCGGGGCCCTGGAGTTACCGACCGGGCCAACCTCCAATGGCCCCTAAAGGGTGGCTCGAACTCGAGACCTGTGGATTTTATCCTCCAAACTTTACTGCTCGGCCACTATCCTTGGGGTTTCAATAAGCATCAAGTTGTGAGACCCATATCAACTTTCTAACACAGACAAGTTTTTCCATAAAACATATCCTTCAAAAAGTACAAGATTTTGTAGGTACACTTTTTCCTTGACTATTTTTAAAAATGATTCCTTAAGCCTGAAAAGAAATCCAATGAAATGCCACACTAACAGAGATTTTTTCCTCCTACAAATCATACAATTCAAGACAGGACATTGTTGGCAATGCAAACTATGTTCATATTGCGCAACACATTTATATCTTAAGGTGGTAACCATATTTAGATAGTGAACGGTGATTTCAAATCCATTCAAACACAAATCAACAGTTAATTAGTTACCAGATCAAAAAAACATTGGGTAATTCAATCAATCACTGCCAAAATCTTCATAACTCAAGCCTTCTGATATCGTGTCCAACCTCTTATTGTCCCCTGACAGGCCAGGACACACATATCAGTAACCCTCTTTGTGATTAGAGACAATGACAAAATGATAAAACTCTCACCTTGTTCTCCCCTGCCATGTGGATCCAAGAAGTTGTCTGTTTCTGCTGCTAGGAAGGGTGATCTGGAGTAGGTCTCCAATATATCTGGATAAAAAAATAAAAAACTAAAAATATAAAAATATAAAAAAAAGTGGACAATTAATACTAAGCAAATCCTGAGGTTCATAAGTTCATTTGAGTCCAAGTCATATGAAACCGACAACCTGTTGGTTGAATGGTATCAAGTTTGCCTTAAGAAATCCAAGTTAGTAAAAGGATTGAGTTCAAATCAAGAAAATTGGTTCAAACAAAGGATTAGGGATTCTTCTATCTTTGGGCAAAAAATAGACAAAAATAAAAGCAGGATAAGAAAGAGGAAGAAATGAAATGAGAAAAGCATATAAATTTGTATAATAGTGAAGAATAACATGAGTCAAATCCTCCATTTACCCAATTTGATTGCACATCCTTGGCCTGAACAAGCTAGCTCTCATTAAATTATGAAAAATATGACACACACAACCATGTACACACACACACACAAGCACTCCATTTACCCAATCCGATGCACATCCTTGGCCTGAAGAAGCTCTCATTAAACTATGAAAATATGATAGACACACGACCATATGCACACACACACACACGCGAGAGGGAGAGAGAGAGAGAGAACAAACCAGCACTATTAGAAAAGTCAGCTGTCAAATCTGAAAGACTGAAGTTTCTAGGAATCTGCCCTAAAAATCCAAATGACGAACTGTCGGCATCCAGGAGTGTTTCATTCAGGGGATGTGAATTCGATGCTACACTACTGAAAGATGAAACAGATGTGTCCCCAATTGCAGGCCGTGATTCAAGGACATTGCCTTCATTACCAAACATGTACGAGGAATTGCCTGCATAACCAGCTTCTGATTTGATCATCACCCCATTCATTCCTTGCATCATTCCCGCAGTTGAGCTCTGAGCCAAAAAAATGTTTGGTGAAACATCAATCCTTCTGGCATGAGCAGACATATCAACAGCATTTTGCATGCATGGGTCTAGTGATGATGACCCACCATTGGGAAAAGAGTTGGGGAAACTTGAATTGATAGGTTGGTGCATGTTCTCCACCTTCAGAGGCGGTCCGACATGTTCTGGAGCATAGTAGGCTGAGTTCTGGTGCAATGGTGGGACATGAGATCCATTAGACATAGGTATGGAAGCAACTCCAGGTGGGCACATCTGATCCATCAGCTCAATTTGTTTCTGAAGTAACCAAAAATAAAAGCAGGATAAGAAAGAAGAAATGAAATGAGAAAAGCATATAAATTTGTAAAATAGTGAAGAATAACATGAGTCAAATCCTCCATTTATCCAACTCGATTGCACATCCTTGGCCTGAACAAGCTAGCTCTCATTAAATTATGAAAAATATGACACACACAACCATGTACACACACACACAAGCACTCCATTTACCCAATCCGATGCACATCCTTGGCCTGAAGAAGCTCTCATTAAACTATGAAAATATGACAGACACACGACCATATGCACACACACACACACACACGAGAGAGAGAGAGAGAGAGAGAGAGAGAGAACAAACCAGCACTATTAGAAAAGTCAGCTGTCAAATCTGAAAGACTGAAGTTTCTAGGAATCTGCCCTAAAAATCCAAATGACGAACTGTCGGCATCCAGGAGTGTTTCATTCAGGGGATGTGAATTCGATGCTACACTACTGAAAGATGAAACAGATGTGTCCCCAATTGCAGGCCGTGATTCAAGGACATTGCCTTCATTACCAAACATGTACGAGGAATTGCCTGCATAACCAGCTTCTGATTTGATCATCACCCCATTCATTCCTTGTATCATTCCCGCAGTTGAGCTCTGAGCCAAAAAAATGTTTGGTGAAACATCAATCCTTCTGGCATGAGCAGACATATCAACAGCATTTTGCATGCATGGGTCTAGCGATGATGACCCACCATTGGGAAAAGAGTTGGGGAAACTTGAATTGATAGGTTGGTGCATGTTCTCCACCTTCAGAGGAGGTCCGGCATGTTCTGGAGCATAGTATGCTGAGTTCTGGTGCACTGCCAGAGGTTGTTGCCAAATAAGACAGCCAAAAGTTAGAACTTCCAATTACAACTTTCGTAAAGTAGATATTTGCGTAATACAGCATATACAATAACAAAACCACTCTTGTATTTCAAGAAATACTTCAATGTTGCAATGTTTAGTGGGCTGGCAAGCTCTGACTAATGTAAAATTGAAGATAATATAAATAATGGTGTGATTGTGTGTACTTGCAACACCTTTTTTTTATAGCAAAAAATATAAAGTCACAACAGTAGATGCTCCTAAGGGAGGATTAATGCCAATTTGACTCAAACATCAAACAGATAGCCTTTGATCATGCATGATATATCAACAAATTCACTTTCTCATTCAAGATATACATGTCAAAGGTATGGGAGAAGAAATACTGTCAGAAATTTACAAAAAGATGTTACTCAAACATTTTTTTTTGTGTGCGCGGCCCGCGTCTGTGTGGGTATCTTAACGTCATTCAGTGCAGGCATTCTTTGACAGCAGTATGATCCAATCAAATAAGTTTTAAAAGGAATAACCAAATAACAATCAGAATTGGATGTATTAACAATTGGCAATCAGGTGGCATGATGCAAAAAAGCATTTTTAAATTTGAAATAAAAGGTTGCAAAATGAACAAATAGTTTCCTCTATACACCACAAATATAGAATTTTGGTCATGAAAACCAACCCTTGAAATAAGTAAAACCAAATCCAAAATTATCTACCTAATGCAAAGGACATCCACATAGGTCAGGTACAACAAAAACACAGAAGAAAAAACTATTTCTTACATGGTGGGACATGAGATCCATTAGACATAGGTATGGAAGCAACTCCAGGTGGGCACATCTGATCCATCAGCTCAATTTGTTTCTGAAGTAACCTGTTGAATTGCATTATTTGGTCCTTCACCATCAATCTTAAATAATATGCCTTGAAAAAGTCCCGATTTTCGTCTTCAAGCTTTTGCCAAACTGGAGGACAAGAAACATGTTATATTCTTGAAGAGGACTAAGCACAAACATACTGGAAGAAAAGTTGAAATCATTGTAAATTGGTTTTCTGTATCAAAATTACACTTATCCATATCATTAATAAAGATGAAGTCCATAATAACTTGTCAATATCATAATGACCATGTCAATAAGTTGGCAGATGACACATCCAAAGCAATAAAATTGTCGTCAAACTACAAGAAATCATGATGATGACAAGCATGGAAAAAAAGAAGAAAGACAAATATGGAATTTCACACGGAATACACGCCTTTTTTTGTCAGTACAATTATCAGAAGGCATCATACGGGGATGCCACCCATATACTTCCACTAATCTAACTCATAATTTTCTCCAAGACACAAGAAATTGTTTTTTTATACAAACAAAAATCGAATAAAAATCCTTTGATACACTTTAGAACAAAGTATCCAAAGAGTCTACATAACTCATAAATGATTAGTATAGGGCTCGAGATTGCCATCCATTCCCATACTTTGAATATCAAGTTTCCATCCATCCACCAAAAGATAAGCTACACAACCAATACCTAAGTTTGATCATTTCTAGGCTATAGCTAGTTGAAAGTGACAAGCAATCTATGCCCTACGGAAAACCCCAAAGTTAGAAAAGGAAAAGAGAGAAAAAAAAAAAAAACTAAATCATGAATACTAACTATCACTGAACAGAAAAAAAGCAAATAACTCAATATAAATTACCCATCATTTATGACTCTCATAGGTTAAATCACAATGGGAGGATATATGAGAAGCTAGGAAGCATGGGTGTGGGTACAGGTACACCGATATGGAAAACCCTAAAAAAAGTAAAAAGCAGTTACGGTCGGGTACGTGCATAAAAATATATTTTTATAATATGAAGTAGTTAACAATTAGAAAATCAACTGACAAAAATAAATCATGTAGTGTACAAAACTACAGTTTAATGTTGAGAAAAAATAAAGCCCTTCGTATTTTTTATATTTTTAATAAATATAAAATACTGTATATTTTTTTAGTTTTTAAAAAATAGGGACAATATAATTATTCTAATACCCTTATAATTTTTATAGAGTTGCATTTTTTGTCCCAGACATATCCACAAAAGTACCCATGATGTACTTGTATTGTACCCGATCCGTATCCATGATGTACCCAACATATTTCACGTACCAAATATTTTGGTGTATCTGGTACGCATGCAACCCAGTACTTATACGACAATGTTTTTAGAATACCCATGCTTCATAGATGAGAAGAAAACTGATACAAAAAGATTACCAAGTTCAGTAAAATCAGGTTCTATTTTTGCCTGAACCAAGAGAGTATCCACGACTTCTTTTTGGCTCATGTAAAGTTGTAGGCATCGCTCTATAAGATTTTGCACCTGAAATTAGACATAGACAAAGACAAAGATCACAGATTATTACTTAGATGTTCTACAAATGAGATATTAAAACTTCCTTTTTGACCAAAAAATAAAACCTTCAATTTAATGTGGCAAGAACTAAATTTTTGTCACAATCAATTAAAACATGAAACCTCACTACACGCCAACAAGATGGATGAAGCTGAATGGTTGAGTTAACAAGTCAAGTTTCTAGATCCTAAGACCCTTATTTCTAAATTCTAACCAAATAATATAAAAGATATTTGAAAAATTATGAAATAAAATTCCTTATAAGTAATAACACGTAAATAGTATTTAACATCCACTAAATTAATTATAATGGTTTGATTCTTTCTCCTATGTCTGTGCTTCTCAGCTTGCAATACTACTCTTACACCTCTTACAAAAAGCCTTGCACATCCATGGTCAAGTCGCTTTCACCATGCCACCCTTTGGAAGACTTATAGATCACATTTTCACATTTTGTCCAGCCAAAGCTTGACTTTCTCTAAATGTTGGCTCATTATATTAGATTTTCTTCCTCATAATACGTAGGAAAAACTTTTAGAATTGCTTTGCATTGCTAAATTCACCGTTTTGAAACAAAATTGGAATGTGCGTTTCAAAATGTAAATCACTAGGATAACAACATTGTGCTAACTATTTACTCCTCATGGTGATCATCAATAATTTCTAATTGTCACCAAATTACCCTATCATAACAGCACAAATTAAAGTTTTCCAATGAATGGAACCTTCTGGTCCCTATTTATTGGATTGTTAAGCACGGATGAATTAAATACTTTCTGTAGCACTTTCTTAACTCAGTGCATCAGAATATAAGGTTCGACACATGCCCAAAACATCTCGGTTACAATCCAAGAAAGTGTAAGATGGTCCAATTTTTTTGAAATAAGGTCAAACTGAAAGTGTCACTGTCAGCCAATAACAAGATTAGTTTTCATTCCAGTTTACGATTTAATATCTGGTTTGTTATAGCAAGTCAAAATTTAGTCTAAGTTATCAGAAATAGTTAATTTTACCTATGGTACAAATATATATATATATTTTTTTTTCATTTTATGATCTTGTACCAGGTTTCCTTGACAGTTAAAACTTTTAAGTAACAACGTTTGTCAAAAGCAAGGTTGTCAGGAACAACTATGTACATTTATGGCCAAAGTAATGTGCCATTGCAAGGCTAATTCTATAGAAGCTTCAGCCCCAAGTGTACAGCAGGCTTGGTGAAGGTGCCACCTGAATCTACAGAGACAAATAGATGCTGGTCTCTCAAAGACACTCCAGATACTAAAACATGTTAATTATGTTTCAATCAATTTCTCAGAGAAGAAGATGCATTTGCGTTTGCTCTAATTGTTTACTATGACGTTTCCTTTTCCATTTTTCTAAAAGGAAAAAGATGTACTAGGTTATTTTTTACATCTTTTCATTTGTATGGAATCAAGAATGAGATAGAGTTGACCACTTACCCTCTTAACCTGTTGTGTCAAAAGGAACTATAAGCTTACTTTGTTACCAACATGTATTAAAGGTACAACCAGTAAGACAATCATGATTTTCAGAACTCAACAGCTTACCAGTTGTATGTCTTCCCGTGAGACCTTTCTGACCTCTCCACTAGACATTTTCCCAAGAATTAAATCAAAGAGATAGTTGCAAACAAAATTTATGCCAATTCGCTTTTCATGCTACAGTAAGTCGCATATGGGTTATTTCCTTCAGCTTTTGCTGATGAAAATTATCATAAGTAATATGTATCACCTGATGTCAAATATCACAGAAAAAAGAACATCCAATTAGCCACTTCAACATGTTTGAAGAATAGGGGGTGTGAGAGAGGCAAAAAAATCTAAAATGAAATAATATGACGATCATTATCAATAAATGCTTGAAGATTGACTAGGCTCATAGCATTATATAATAATTATATTTAAGAAAAAATGAGGTAGCGTCGTGAGGAATCAACAACTAACACCTTAACAAGAAGAAGGCCATGATAAGTAAAACCTTTATTTTTTCTTTTTTGGCAAAAACAAATATTGTATTAAAAAACAAACTAAGGAAGCCCTTAAGAACCCTGAAGGCACATGAAAATATATAATAGTGAATATGGCTATACACTGCATCTAGCTTCATCTTCGCCGTTATGCTATTATTAACACAAAAATTTAGCAAATATAATAGTGAATACAATATGGTAAATCTAGTTTATGTTCAACCTTTATTTTTTCTTGATAAGGTATATATATGTACTATGTACCAATAACGAGGAAGGAGAGTCAGTTTTTTGTAATCTTTCATTCATAATCAAGATTGACCTTCTTTCTTCAAATCTTAAGCTTGAAGGGTTTGTCTTTCTTCTTCCACCGCTAGGTAAACCAAACCCACAAAACCAATTAGGGTTTCTTTAACAAAAAACAAAAAAACAAGAGTTGTTTCTAAAAGAGTTTTTAGGATTGGACAATCACAACACAGAGTGAAACTCAAAATTTCATAATCAAGCATCAAACAACACAACCAATAATCAATAAAATTAAAAACTTTACCAAGATCACATGAATCAAAAGCCATGATCAGAACAAGACACAAAAAACAAAACCCTAGAACACACAACAGATCATATACAAATTCCACTGCGTATAAAACACATACACGTCAGAGAAATTGAAGAACAAGGCGTGAAAAGTGAGAGAAAGTGTTGGAAGAGTATTATTGTTCGCATAGATTTTTACCTGGTTTTGATTCGGAGTAATCGCGGAATTTCGATTTTGCAACTCTATCGAGAGAGAGAGAGAGAGAGAGAGAGAGAGACGGTGGTGGTGAGGAAGTGGCTTCTGTATTTTTTTTTTCTGTTTTTATGTGTAGTAGTGGATGTGCGTAATGGCTTTTGGGGTAACAAAATTAATTTTTGTTTGCTTTTTTGGAGTGCCTTTTTAAGAGGTGACGACACTTCATGGAGGAGAGTCCGATCATGACACGTGTGGGGTTGAGGAGGGAGGATGGGGTCCTCTACTAGATCGGATGATGATGGGGAAAAACTAGTTGATGGGGAAGTGGATATGGCATCCAATTCTACAAGTTGTTTTTATAGTTTTAGGGCATGCCTGGTAGTGTTGTGATTAGTAGACGGGTAAAGTCTATGATTTTGTGTTAAATTATAGAATAATAAGAAAAGATAAGATGGTGTTTAGTGATTGGTGAGAGTTTATGTAGAATCCTGGGTAATAGCCAGAGGTATAGTATTTATAAGGGCAAATTACATATACACCCCTTCAGGTTTGGCAAAATTACAGATACCCCCTGAGGTTTGAGAAATTACGAATTCCCCCCTGAATGCTATATTTGCATAAGAAATTAGGGGGTAATTTGTTATGAAATATAAACCTCAGGGGGTAAATTGTTATGAAAATACAAACCTCAGGGGGCGGGATGTAATTTCCGAAACCTCAGGGGGGTATCTGTAATTTAACCAAACCTGGAGGGGTGTATATGTAATTTGCCCTATTTATAACTGGTGAGTAGGTTCGGTCCTAAGATTTTTGGAGTTTAAAGTTGATAATTAACTATTGAATTTATGGAGTTTTTCACATTTTTTTATTGAATGATGTAAATATCAATATTATAATAGCAATTAATTGTGCAAAAGATAAGATAAATATTTAATTCATTGAATAGGAAAAAAAAATATTTACCTCTGCTTGTTGTGCTGAGATCAAAATATTTTTTAAAATCAAAATTCAAAACAAGAGTACCACCACTTAACAAAACACAAAACTTTTAAATTATGTGATATGAACTATTAAACTTAAATAAATTTTTCTTGATGATGTAAATACCAATATTGTAATAGTAATTAATTGTGCAAAAGACAAGATAAATATTTAATTAATTGAATACATTTTTTTTTTTTTTTTTTTTTTTTTTTTTACCTATGCTTGTTGCTGCTTCGTTGGGGCTGCTGGTGTGTGCTTCATCCTTGCTGGTGTGTGCTGTCAAACAAATGTAAGGAAGGTTGGATTAAGAGATGATAGGGTTAGGAATTAGAAAAATGGGCTTTTCAGATTATTGGGTTGGTGTAACAACCCTCATACTGTTTACCGATTAATGACTGATTGAGTACCGATAAACATTGATTACCGTTAAACTGAACTGATTATGACTGATAATTGGACTGGTTAAAGTACTGAACTGACTGACTGAAAACTAGAACTAGATTGAATGAGTACATCTGTTTGAATTGCATTTTATCTGTTGATTGATTATTTGATCTGTTTGTGTTTTATGTTTAAACTGCTATTTGAAGGCCTTATCGACGGCCGAACCAGAAATTGATTAGTGTTTTATGATCATCATAATTAATGTGATTTTTTGGTATATTTATCTGAAAACTGTTAGGTATAATTAAATTAGATTAAACATTGATAAATTGCAATAGTTGCCGTAATTACCATTTTGCCACACTTAGTGGGCCACTACCACACACACTTAGAGACTTGTATATGCTTGATCAAACCACTTCCTCAGCCCATTCCCTTTGTTCTTGCCGACCAAGAGAGGAGATAGGAGAGAATTGAGCTCATTTTGTTGAATTGCTTGGAATTGAAGTGTAAATTGTCAAATTGGACTCCTAAACCTTAAATACAAGACTTAGGTAAGGATTTCATCTTCTCATTCTTGTGTTTGAGCTAATTCTTGCATGGTTTATGTTAAATTGTAGGGCTAAGTCATGTTTTAGTTCATACATGTTGATATAGAGCATAATTCTTGCATGCATGTTTGAGTTGATGAGTTTTGAGTTGAATTCGTGGTAAAATGGTACATGCATGTCCATAATTTTGTAATGGTCCATGTTTTCAACTTGTTTTTAGATCAATTGGCTCCTTAGAGCATCAAATTGAGCTTCAAAGTTGTTTAAATTTCATGCATGTTTGCATGTTCATATTGTTCATGAAATTGGTTTAAAATTGGGTTTGAATTAAATACCCTTGGGCTTTGATTTCTCAAATTGAGTTTTGAATCATGTTATTCCATGTGTTTACAAGTGTTTTTCCAGAAATTAGCCCAAGAGGATCGGTTTTGATGCTTTTGAACTTGAGTCGAAGCTTGGAGGTGCAATCTGGGATTTCCAGATTTTGCACTCCCGCTCGAGCGGAGATAGAGACGCTCGAGCGGAAAATTCGAGCATCCAGCATCTCTGCACTATTTTATCATCCGCTCGAGCGGAGGACTGGGCGCTCGAGCGGAGTCTTGTGTTTCAAGCTCGAGCGGGAGTCGAGCGTTCGTCGAGCGGAGATTTCACCCATCCAGTACTTTTACAGTACGCTCGAGCGGGAAAGTTGACGCTCGATGTAAATACCAATATTATAATAGCAATTAATTGTGCAAAAGACAAGATAAATATTTAATTCATTGAATAGGAAAAAAAAACATTTACCTCTGCTTGTTGTGCTGAGATCAAAATATTTTTTAAAATCAAAATTCAAAACAAGAGTACCACTACTTAACAAAACACAAAACAAACACAAAACTTTTAAATTATGTGATGTGAACTATTAAACTTAAATAAATTTTTCTTGATGATGTAAATGCCAATATTATAATAATAATTAATTGTGCAAAAGACAAGATAAATATTTAATTAATTGAATAATTTTTTTTTTTTTTTTAAATAAAAAATAAAAAATTTACCTGTTTGGTGCTGCTTCGTCCCTATGCTGCTAGTGTGTGCTATATCAAACAAATGTCGGAAATGTTAGATTAAGAGATGATAGAGTTAGGAATTAGAAAAATAGGCCTTTTAGACTGTTGGGTTGGGCCTTAAACTGTTGGCCTTTTAATGGGTCAAAAAAATTAAGGCAAATTACATATACCTCCCTTGAGGTTTAGCAAAATTACAAATACTCTCCTGAGGTTTGAGAAATTACAGATACCCCCTTAAAGGTACTATTTGCATAACAAATTAGGGGGCAAATTGTTATGAAAATATAAATCTCAAGGGGCAATTTGTTATGAAAATATAAACCTTAGGGGGATATCTGTAATTTTCGAAACCTCAGGGGATATTTGTAATTTTACTAAACCTCAAGAGGGTATATGTAATTTGCCCAAAAAATTAAAAAGTTAGTTTAGGCCTTTTTTAAATTTTTTTTGGACTTAAAACACACCTAACATATTATACTAACTTATAATAGGAGGGACCCTTATTTTGGGCCTATTTTGAGGGGCCCTAAGTCATGACTTTGTGGGCCTATGGCCAGGGCGGGGTCTGCTGGTGAGGGATGATTTTAGGTGATATTCGTGTAATAGCGTATCATTGTATATAGAGATGGTCATTTATTTTCGCTTCGCTTTGTACCCGCATCTCTTGTCCAGTCCTATATAGATTTTGTCTGCCCAAATTAATAAGTACGTGTTTGGGATAAATTAAAAAAATGCACTTTTTTTTTACTTACATACATTTATTTGGGTTACATCAATCAACATTTTCTTTCTATTTTTCTAACCACTTTCTTTACTTTTCTATATAATTTTTTTACAAAAAATTAAAAAATGTATTTATTTAGAACATCTCAAACCACTCTAAAAAGTGATGAGGGGACGAGTTTTACTTCTTCGGCACCCATTCCATCCGAACCCCATCGTAATTATATTTATTAAATATATTTTTATGTATAATATATAATTTATTTATTTTTTATTATAATAAAGTTAAAATATTAAAATATTATACTTAATATTAATTTTCATTCATTTATTTTCTATCTTATATAATATAATTCTCTGTACTACTGATCTGCAGGCCTTCGGTAATCTCGGATTACTGGCCGGTTACGGTGCTAAACCCATAGGGCCGGGTTTGGGTCGTGACAGTTGGGCCTTAAACTGTTGGCCTTTTAATGGGTCAAAAAAATTAAAAAGTTAGTTTAGGCATTTTTAAAATTTTTTTTGGACTTAAAACACACTTAGCATATTATACTAACTTATAATAGGAGGGGACCCTTATTTTGGACCAATTTTGAGGGGCCCTTAGCCATGGCTTTGTGGGCCTATGGCCAGGGCGTGGCCTGTTGGTGAGGGATGATTTTAGGTGATATTCGTGTAATAACGTATCATTGTAGATAGAGATGGTCATTTATTTTCGCTCCGCTCTGTACCCGTATCTCTTGTCTTGTCCTCTATAGATTTTGTCTGCCCAAATTAAGTAAGTGTTTGGGGTAAATTAAAAAAGTGCACTTTCGTTTTTTTTTACTTACATACACTTATTTGGGTCACATCAATCAATATTTTCTCTCTATTTTTCTAACCACTTTATTTACTTTTCTATATAATTTTTTTACAAAAAGTCAAAAAATGTATTTATTTAGAACATCTCAAACCACCCTAAAAAGTGATGAGGGGACGAGTTTTACTTCTTCGGCACCCATTCCATCCGAACCCCATCGTAATTATATTTATTAAATATATTTTTATGTATAATATATAATTTATTTATTTTTTATTATAATAAAGTTAAAATATTAAACTTAATATTAATTTTCATTCATTTATTTTCTATCTTATATAATATAATTCTCATTAACTATATTATTTGTAATATACTATATTATCGATAGTTTTTATTAATAGTAACCTGTCTCAAGCCCCCCTTTCGCCACTCCTCGATTGGTCCCACTCTCAATATGATACAGGGAGGGGTGAATTTTTATAAATCCGTCTCAAATCCGTTTCATGATCATCCCTAATTATATGGTTATGGTGTTAATAGTAATGGAGGTAATAATAGATTTTAATTTGAAAAAATTGTTAATGGAAATATTTTTATTTAAATAAATTTATATTTTTATTAATCACTAAAAATGTTTTTTTGAGTTTGCTTTCGTTTTCAATGTAAGATTTCAATTTGGGCGAGTTTAATTTAGAAATTTGTCTAGACTCAAGTCAAAATAGAGATCTATCCAAAGCCGTGTTTGTGTCCAAAATCTGACGAAACACATGGGCCTGAGTTTAATTCAAAAGGCTAGGCTTGAGTTTTCCAAATCAAAAATAAAAATAAATTTTTTAATCGTGTAAAAAAATAAAGAGATGATATGACTTAAATAAGTCAATAAAAAACTTAATTATATTATTACCAAATAATCTTACTGTACTTTAATAAAAAGTAGAAACACAAATTAGTTGAGTTATACCAAACAATATAAAATAAATGTCACAGATTTAATCCAAAAATGTGAGAAATAATTACATTTTATGTTTATTATATATAGTTCATATATATTAAAAATAAAATTCGAGTTGAGAAGCTCGTTCGGATTGTGAGAATTCTTATACACACTGGATCCAAATTTAATTAAAGCTAACAAATTTTAATTTGAACTCTTAGGCCTCGTTTGGGAAGCGACTGGTTGTCAAAAAATTACTAAAAAAGCCAAAAAATTAACAACCCATACCAAAAAGTCAAAGATACTTTTTTCTCTCTATTTTTTGCACATTTTTTCGTAAAAAGTCATCTTAAACATACGAGTTTTTTTTAGCTCATATTTTACTCAAATAGTTAAAAAATTACTAAATTAACTTGTTCCCAAACGAGGCCTTACTAAATTTTAATTTTTGGACGCAAATTGTTCGGATTAAAACCGCACACAAGTAACCCCCCTTAACTCAATAGAGCCCTATTGAATCCAAGATGGGCCAAGTACAAGCCTGTTTGATTTAGAATTGGACTTTCATCTGGGCTTAAATTGTTCAAAAGTGGTACTCATTATGGGCTTCATTTAAAAAAGGTAGTTGTACTAACAATTATTTGTTAGCCCAGTATAAAAAAGTAGTTGATAAATATATATTTTTTTTATTTAAAAAAATTAGTTGATCATATTGGAAGTAACTGAAATGAACAATTATTTGAACTGTTCTTTTAAAAAGGGAAAAAATAAAAAATAAAAAATAACTCGGCGTTTTCTTCTTCTACTATATGAACAGAAGAAAATCCCCTAAAAAAGGGGGGAAAAGTGATACAAATCATATATATGGCAGACATTAAAGTGATAATTTTTTCTTAGGTAACAATATTTTAATGTAAAGATAAGTTAATTTAATTCAAAAGAACTTTTAAGAAAATTTTGTCATGAACACATAATGCGTGTAACAATGTCAAAAGATGAGTATGAATAATTATTTTGTAATGTTTTATTTTTACTTTAAAATTTTGTAAATCACTCAAACACTAACTAGAAAGTCAAGACTTAACCGATATAAATGATTGTGGGGATGGCGTGTATTTGATGAGAATAACTTTGTTTTGGAAATCTTAAGTTGTGGGTAGAGGCGATAAATACACTTCATTAAAAAAATATTAATAAAAAATGATTATATGCACAATTTCGGTGAATTTGATTCTATTTTTATTCTGAAATTTGAAAATATATATTTGTTGACAATTCTATTTCATTAGTAATTGAATATTAAAGTAAAATTGATATAAATAATCAAAGAAAAAGGCATCTTCAAGGAAATCTCATGAACATGCATTCAATTTGATTTTTTTTTTATACCATCCAACACATGAATTAGTCAAATTTGTGCAAGAAAATGCATTAAAAAATGCACGTGCATACATATCAGCAATGTCAATGTGTAAATATATTTTGGTTTCCTTTGGAAAATGGGTTAATTTTTAAATTTTTTAATTAGTATGAGTTTAGATTTTTTGATTTTTTTTTGACTTTTATGCGAGAAAAAGTAAAATGATTATAGTTTAGATATAACATTTTGTTTTATTAATTTTTTTAGTCTATTTTATCTTTTTGGGATTATTTTAACCTTTTAAAAAACAAGGTTTACAAGATCTTGGTAAATTATACATATTTTGCACCCTATAATTAAAAAAAAAAAAATTGATCATGGTAATTTTAAGGGAAATTTTTTTCAAAGTCCCTGATATTAATATTTTATAAAATAAAAAACATATATTTCTATAATAGTTAAGGTCCCTTAACATTTTTACAGAGAAAATCAGAAAAATTTCGTCCGACACTTCGAGAAATTTCAGTCTCGATACACAAAAATTTCAATTTTCAGTGAAATTTTGAAAATTTTATTTAACTAATAAATTTTTTTTAGACCTCTTCTACTACATAAAATTTGAAAGGAATATTTCACTAATTTTTCCTAATTTTAATTAGGGCACATTAAGAACTTGAATAGAAATGAGCTAAGATTTTTTTTTAACCAATAAATTAACTATTAAAACCCCAGACAAGTCATATGTTCTAAATTCTTGCAATCACATTGCTATCACATTTCGAATAACAAATCATCTATCTCAGTGAGACAGATGATCTCATTTAATTTTTTTTTTTTTTTGGTTGAAAATTAGTGGAACTGAATATTTTCATCTAAAATACACAACCAACAACGAGAAAGAAAGAAAGGGAAAAAAAAAGTAGTTTGGCTAATCTCAATTAGTTCTATTTTTATTTTTTCATTTTCTTTGTTTTAGGAAGTTTGTTAAAAACTATTTTTTTTTTTAATTTAAAAAATATATATATATATATAAAAAATTAAAAAAAATAATGAAACTCAAAATATGTTAAAAGTCAAATTGACTTTTAGCTAAATTCCCAAATTAGCCAAATCAGCAAGACAAAATTGGAATGAAATATGTTCATGTAAAATGTGTACTGGTCTCTCATCATCATAATGATGAATCTCTCTCTCTCTCTCTGCAATCTTCTTGATCTTGTATTAAGCAACACTAAGGTACCAAAACCCATAAAACTGAGAAGAAAAAAAAAAGGTTAAGAGAATTTAATTTTCAAATTAAAGAGAAAGAAAAAGAGAAAAAAATTATTTGCAAGGATTAATCAGATCACAGTAGTGATGCCATTGAATCTTGGTCTTGTTTTATCTGGTGAAAGCCCTTCTTCCATAGCTTTCCTCTTGTTATTGTTGTTGGATTGTTGTTGCGGTTGAAGCTCTTGTGTTTTTGCTGCTTCTTGGTTTTCTTGATTTTCTTGATCTGGATTTTCTTGCTTTTGATGATTCAAATGTTTGGTTTTCATCATATGAGGTTTAAGCTTATTTACATCAGATAATCTCACTGGTTTGAGAAAAAATTCCTCTGCTCCTTCTTCTAAGCATCTGTTTAATTTGATCAACAATGCCCACCTCCAATTATACATAAACAAACAAAATTTTGAAAACCACCCATTCTTTTCATATCCATTTTTTTTTTTTTTTTTTTTTGTGAAAAACTACTTTTTGATATTTCTTAAAAAGTGGGTTGTTTTCAAAAACGTTGCTGAAGAATATGAAAATACAACCAATCATAAATATTTACCAGTATGACAAGGTCAACCCTTACAAATACAAATATGTGCACAAAATTCATTCTCACCTGTTTATTCTTGAAGGAACATTCTCAGATGACATAATCACTACCGGTATATTTCTCAGAGATGAAGATTCCTGCAAAATTGTGGTGCATTGTATTGTTTTCAAGAACGTTGCTGAAGAATATGAAAATACAACCAATCATAAATATTTACCAGGATGACAAGGTCAACCCTTACAAATACAAATATGTGCACAAAATTCATTCTCACCTGTTTATTCTTGAAGGAACATTCTCAGATGACATAATCACTACCGGTATATTTCTCAGAGATGAAGATTCCTGCAAAATTGTGGTGCATTGTAATTTGTTAAATCTGTTTGTCTTAATGGAGAATAGAATTAGAGAGTCCTTTCATAATCTTGATTTTCTTATTTGGCTGGAAATTAGGTGGGAAGATTTTCAAGAGATTCTCATTGATCTCAAATGAATGGTTAGAAAAGGACCTTTATGTGAGCAACCTTTCCAACTATGTCAATTTGGAACGCGACAACTTGGCTGGAGAAGTTCTCATGGATTATTTTCCGGGAAAGGAAAATGATGGAAGTTGGAAAGATTGGACAAGAAAGACAAAATGAATATAAACCTAAAACGTACCTTAATTTTCTTGAGCAAATCATAGCCTGTCATTCCAGGCATACAGTAATCTGTAATAATCAGATTCACTTCCACTACCTGTAAAAACCCACAAAATCAAAGAAAATTTTAGAGAAAACCCCGTAAAGAAAATCACTTGATTTATCCAAGAAAGTGAAAGAAAATCCATACATACCTGATGATTGTTTGGAGAAACAGAGGGTTGATCTGGGTTGCTCTGCTCATCTTCATTCAAACCCAGAAATTGTAAAGCCTTGCTACCAGAATCCACTGTGGTAACTGGTAAACACACACACCAATCAACACCTTTGAATCAAAACATGCAATAAAAGGAGCTAAAAAGTGTGTTTGGCAGGCTAGAAAGTCACCTTGAAATGATGAGGTCTTGAGGAGCCTCTCAATGAGTTTTCTGTCTATGAGGCTATCATCAACAGCTAAGACATGAAACTGTGACTCTGTGGGCAATCCCATTGCTCCAATTCAAGATCCAAGAAAACAGGAAGGAAAAATAAGAAATTTTCTGTTTGTTTCTCTCACTTTCTTTCTTTCTTTCTCGGTGTGATGAGAAGAAAAGAGAAAATGAACTTGCTATTGCAATATAAGACCCACCAAAATCCACAACCCAGAAAGCAAGATCTGACCAGATTTCATCCAAGGATCTCCCAAATTTTACCAAGATGATTTTGAATTACAAGGCAAGCAATGAGGAGTAATAAAACAAAGAAAGAATCAATTAATAAACAATACAAATCTACAAGACTTCAACATGGGGATTATTGTATTGATTCTTGAAAGTTGGGTTTTTATATACAACAGAGAAGAAATAAAAGATGGAAGTTTTTTTTAGAAGAAAACAAAAGGACTGACGTTTTTTAGTAACCGTTCATGATTTTATTGTTTGCGTTTTTTTGACTAATATAAATTCAACAATGATTCATCCCCCTTTTCCTCCTACCCCTTTGACCCCTCTCTCTTTCATTGGTTATCTTTTCTTTTTCTTTTTCTTTTTTTTCTTGCTCCCCCAATCACCACCTGTCACGTGGCAAAGGGGTGAGGGAGTGACCCCCAAAAGGGGGTCCCAAACATTATTCATATAAATTACATTATTTGCGTTTTTTAGTAACCGTTCATGATTTTATTGTTTGCGTTTTTTTGACTAAAATTTATTCAACAATGATTCATCCCCTTTTCCTCCCACCCCCTTTGACCCCCTCTCTCTCTTATTGGTTACCTTTTCTTTTTCTTTTTCTTTTTTTTCCTGTTCCCCCAATCACCACTTGCCACGTGGCAAAGGGGGGGTGAGGGGTGACCCCCAAAAAGAGTCCCAAACATTATTCATATAAATTACATTATTTGCGTTTTTTAGTAACCGTTCATGATTTTATTGTTTGCGTTTTTTTGACTAATATAAATTCAACATGTAAATAATAATTAAAAAAAAAGTTAATTTAATAATTATAATCAATTAATTTTATCACATTGAGCTTTAAAAAAATAAGTGGTGAATTTTTAAAATTATATTCATTATTTTTTATAAGTTAATTATGATAAAATCACCTGAATATAATTATCAAATTAATTTAATTTTATTTGTAATATAACCCATTGTGTCTCGTGATCTAATTTAAAAAATATAGTTATGTTTAAAATGAAATAAAATGACATTGAGATCACACACTTTAAAATGATATTGAGACCGGAACTCCTATACCTAGTTAGGAGGTCAGAATTTGAATCTCTCCACTTATACGTAGATTTTATTTTTTGTATATTAATTGAGATTTTCTCTCTTTCTTTGAGAGTTTCTTTGTAAAAATAATTTATATTATATTTGATTTATTACTATGATTGTAATTTATTAAATTTGATTATAATATTTTATATAAATCAAATTTATAACAAATAACAATAATTCTATAAATTTCATTTAATTATTTCAAATAAAAGTGTGTGATAAATTTGAATTTATATAGCAGAATATTTATATATAAAATAAATTTAAATCATATAATAATTTTTAATAATTTATAAGTAGTTGAATATGAATCTGTACTGCCAGATAATCCTATGGGAATTTGGGTTGAAGGGAGAGGGTTGAGGTGGGGTGGGATCCACAGAAATCCTCCCAAGAGATACAGGTGATGTCAGCAGAGGTGCCCCTTTTTCCATGGTGAGAAATCATGTGCTCTTTACCATATCTTGAGCAGGTGGGGGTAGTGGTGCAAAGAGATGGCAATTTCTTTTGATTACCTTTTAAGATTTGCTTCCTATGATGGGCCATCCATGCCCATTCTCACCACAATATGTGCCCCCATCAATGCCCCATTCACCCCATTTATGTCCATTCATTTATCAAATTATTCACTTTACTTGGTTTTGATTTTTTGAATTTTTTTTTATTGAATTTTTTTAATATTTTAAATAATTTTTAAAATTTTTAGACACACTTAACATAAATACATTTAAAAAGTATAATATTTGTAATTTTTTTTAAAAGTCACTAAATATAAAAAATACAAAAAAATATAAAAAATTTAGTATATTTTTCATATTTTTGTGTATTTATTAATTTTTAAAAATATTTTGTCTTAAATATTTTACTATTTAGATACATTTAAGTAAAGTGTATCTAAAAAAGTAAAAAAAATTGCTTAAATTTTAAAAATATTCACTAAAAATAAAAAAACATGAAAAACAAAAAATTCAATTTCTAAAAAACTGAAACCAAACACATTGATTATTAATTATTATTAGTATTTTAAATTGATACCATCAAAAATTTAACTCTATCAAATTAGGTACAAAGTTACTTATTTTATGCAGTGGAGTTCAGACTTTGAATGAATTTGAGTCCATCTTCCTGTGATTTCTTTTTTAATAAAATTAATTAAAAGTTAAAGGGTAAATTACATATACCTCCCTTGAGATTTGGCTAAATTACAGATACCTCCCTGAGGTTTCGAAAATTACATCCCGTCCTCTGAGGTTTGTATTTTCATAACAATTTGCCTCCTGAGGTTTATATTTCATAACAAATTATCTCATAATTTGTTATGCAAATATAACATTTAGGGAAGAACTTGTAATTTCTCAAATCTCAGGGGGTATTTGTAATTTAACTAAACCTCAAGAGGGTATATGTAATTTGCCCAAAGTTTAAATTGTGTGACTATGAGCACATGAGACACAAAGTAAACACTTTCAAATACGAGCTTAGCTCAAGTTCAAGCTTGAAAAATTGATTGAACTTATTAAATTTTAAAGGGAAAAAACAATTTAAATTAATTTGCGTAATTCAGTTCATTTGCATCCTAAATATTGGTGCAAATTGTTGCTTAAGTTGAAAACAATACAATATGAGATTTCTGCAATTGTGACATTGTGTCACAATGTGGATGAATGTGACACCTTTGTTGGTTACTTAAAGGCTCAAATTTCATTATTTAGCTTTTCAATTCTAACCCAACCAATTTAGCCTTTGAGCCATTTGGAAGACAAAAGGGTGAATATAAGATAAATTGAAAATAAGAAAAATAATTATAAATGAATAGAATTTAAGTGTGTAAGTCAAAACTATCATTTTTGTATAGTTTTCGTTTGCATTTGATACATGTCTTACTTGCACTCCATTAAATCCTTCCAAAAAAAATTCCCCATGGAGTGATAATAATTTAATAACATAGTAAACCCGATATATTAAAATTAAAATTATCTAGATTATAATCATCACATGTAAATGTAATTGAATCACATTCTTCTTTTTGATGGGCATGCAAAAGAAAAAGTTGCCATTGGAAACACCCTTTATCTTTCACATTTTACCTTGTTACTTTTCTCTTTTTATTTTTTGACTCTTCCTTTTCAATATTTTGTTATGAACAAAAGTGAAACTACAACAAAATTCAAATTGTTGGATAAAAATCTATTGAAATGAAAGGTAATACATATTATCGATATTGACTAATACTACATTTTGGATGACATGAATTAAATAAAAAGAATGAAAATATCAAGAATTTCATTAGCAGTTGTAAATTAATGTGTCGATGTTATTAAGATGTTTGATTTTGTTACGGATTCATTTTGGAAAAAATGATAAAATTTTAAATATCATGAGCCAATTTATTTAATTATATATAAAAGAAAAACACTTTTAAATGGTTCACATTTCTATATAATGTGAGATCACTATAGGAGAGTTTTGGATCAGAGTTACACTTAATTTGAAAATATGATTCAACTTTAGTAGACAATCAAAATTATCCTTTCATTTCAATCTATTCATAGCATAGAATTCTAGATGCACAATATCACATTCTCATTATCTTTAGAAAAAATTCATTCAAACAGAACTTGAACACCATAAAGTGAGAAAGTTCATACTATAGTCAAAGATTACTCAACATAAACTATTAGATTGAGATCTTTTCTTTTCTCATTTTTTCATTCAATCAAATGACTTTAAAGTTATTTTTAGTAGGAAAAGTGAATCTATAGTCTATTACTCTTTTTTTTTTTTTTTTTTTTTTTAAAACAAAAAAAATGTGATTTGACTTGACTCTCTACAAATGTGATAAATAGGCACATGCCCTATGTCAAAACATGAACCAATGTTTTTGGATGAGAAAGAAAGGACAGCACAATTGCTGCAAAAGGAAGAAAATATAAATACATGTACAAAATTGAAGGAAGCAAAACAAGTAAGTGGGTCCATACAAGATTCTCTAGCTAGATTCATCAATAGCAAGCCTAACTTTGAAGGTTATGAAACCTAAGATACAAAGGCAAAGGTAATGACATATAAAAATTTATTATAACATTTTAATCTAAAACATTTTTATTATGATTTATAATTTTAATATTATCACTGTCCTATTATTCTAGTATATATATATATATATATATTTTTTTAAAAAAAATTTTAAATTTCATGATCACTTCACTATTAGGTTTGGATCTTTAAATAATGTAAAGATCTTTACTAATAAGATAGAAATGACTTTACTTCACAGGCTCTTTTTTAATTTTCTTACAAATCAAAAATTCAAATACAATTTATATTCTTAGGTTTATTTTGAGAAGTGATTTAAAAGTTAAGTTTTTAACTATTTTTTAATTTTTTAATTTTTTTTAAAAAAACGTATAAGAAATTAACGATGTGATATGACTTAAAAAAAAATTAAAAAAACCAAAAAGTTAGCTTTTAGTCAAGTACCCAAAAAAGAGTTAGTATTTTTTTGATTTACTGTTGTCAAGTGTACATAAGAAAACAGGAAAAAAAGGTGGAAAAAAGAAGTTGGAGAAGATAAGAAGATACCAATCTATTAAGCATAAGACAATATAAATAGTATCAAACTCCCCCTTATCATATTTAAACTCATAACTTGACATCACAAAATGGCAATACACAATCATTATGCTAAAGATCCTGATTGGAGCAACTAGTTTATACATGTCCCAACATGATTATAAGGAAAGTTCAATTTCTTGTTAATCAAAGGCAAACCCTTTTTCTAGTTTATTTATTCTAAAAGAAGAGAGTTTGAAGAAAAAATATTAAGAAAAATATGTTTAGAAAGGATAAATTATTCATTGTTCTAGGAGTATTACTCTTCACCATTTATATTTGGATAAGTGTTCAGTTATTTCTTTAAAGGACACAAATAAGTAGTGAGACTCACTGTTTTAACCAATAATACTTAAGAGTTATTTGACATGATCGATATAAGTGTACTTATTTATGTTATAACGTCTCTTTATTTTTTTACATATCTTTTCATAAAAAAATTAAAAAATATATTTATTTACATTATACCAAATACCCCCTTATATTAAGATACCACCTAAATTTATCCATAGAACAACGAATAATTTCTAGCTTA